CAGGCTATCGAGAAACCACACCAATTATTTCACGTTGGCCTATAAACGTTCGTTGTACACGTACAGTACCTGTATTCATGTTGACTGTTCCTTTGAAATCCACCCCATTGCCTTGATTCCTACAGTCAATACTATGCCATACAGTTCTCAGGATCAACCCTGAGGACGTAGCGGGACGTAGCAGGACAAAGCCTGGCCGTATCCGACGCAAAGTCTATGTGCTAAAGCTGGGACTACTTTCCAAAGCGCGTCAAACGCACTATGTATTGCAAATGTGCTTTGTCGCGGTACGCGTGGACATGGCGGACGATCTCGATCGTTAATTTTTTTAGCAGAAGAACGAAGAAAAAACCACAACAGCAGTAATGCCTTTTTCGCAAAATTGCGAACAACAAAAACAATACTGTTTTGGCCGACTGCCGAACCCCCCCCCCAAAAAAAATTAACGATTACAATACCTGTCCCCAATGGGATAAAAAAAAAATAACGAAAACAAGAGCTGTTTGCGAAAAAGCCAAAATCAGAAGAAAAAACTTTTAAAGAAAAACAGGAGTGTTTCGCCGAAACAGCTAATTAGGTGTGTACTTGACTCACGATACCGAGACAAAATACCAATTTTACAGGGTATTGAGATCTGAAAAGACTGGTCTGGAAACCGACAGCGCAGATATATCATACTTAATCTGCAACAAAACTACTCCATACACATGTATATTATCAGGAAGCCAATACTGTCTGCCAATTTAAATCCCCCTGTGGAGCTGCAAAGTAAAATGCTATTGTTATGACTCAACACCAGACTGCAGAAGCCCATGATGCCATAATGCAGTAAGCTCCGTTGTTTGCTGGAAGCTGCAGAGGGCACGGTGCACTGGACCGCAAACGGTTTGGCAAGCTTCGCTGAAACGTTCTTCTGTTCGATGTCGACGGTCGGTGGGGCTTAACGTTTTCAAAGCGTTGAACGCTTTCAGAGGCGTTTCTATTTTAACCTTACGCCTTACTTGAAATATTAATGCAAAGAAACTAAGTTTTTTACAACTAATACATACTGCAAATACAAAACCTGATGTCACTTTTAAAAAAAGCCACAAACCGAGCCCGGTAAGGGCAGTTGACAGGGGCGCTTGCCGTCAGATTCCCCAGCAAAGGACCAGGAAAGCTCGATTTAGAAAGACGAAAATTTACCCGGATCTTCCACCAATTGTTATGCAGGCTTAGACTCGGAATTTAGAGAGATGAAAAGAAACTAAAAATTTATCACAGGGACGCTGTGATTTTGGAGATCAATCAGCGAAAGAACCAGCAGATGAAGCTACAAGCGCAGGTACTGTATACGTTTGTAAGGCACATAGTGACCTCGACCCCATAGGCTGCGTGCGCCCTGGTCGTATAGAACACGAAAATTACGATGACTGGCGATTTCAAACATTGTATAGCGCCCTCGCCGCTGCGCGGTGCTATACAATCTTTGGTCTGTACGATGCCTGTAAATGGTGAGTCCTCCACCCCCTTTGGCTGCTGTAGCCTCCTTGGGCCCACGGCCTATAAGTAAAATCTACCACAAGAGCATTCGTTCAGCCATCACGTGATCTTCGTGCCTGCCCTGGTGTCAACCACCACTACCTCCAGTCGCTCGAGTCGGCTACCATCAGCCTTGGCTAACCACTCCGGCTTTGCAGGCGCATACGTCATCGGCCGCTGCTCTCTTTCCTCCTCGTAATGAGAACCGGCTGCATCAAAGGACGACGAAGATGAGTTAGGTGGTGTGTAAAATCCCATCGAGGAAGGCATCTTGAACAGCAGAGGGGTGACTTCATTGATCAGAACTTCTTTTTTTCTTGACAATTAGCTGCAGGCTAAAGGTATGACAGCCTGACCGAATATCGCGCTCTTTATAATTTCATCCACCCTCGTGCATATTCTGTCCGATAAAGATTCCTAGGTTAGCTCCACCTACTTCATTAGTATTCATTTATGCAAATGAGGTGATGACGCCATGCATACATTTGCATAAAGTGTCTTATCAATGCCCAGAACACTACTATTGTTACCTGGCTATGATGATTCTAAATGGTATCACCAACCGAGAAGTTTATCTCATGACAACTCCAATCAACTGACGTGTATGTTAAAAGAACGACGTAATGGAGGTGTAGCTGTGTGTGGCCGAAAAGACAAAGTATTAGCAAAATACACTCGCCAGTCAATAATCTCGAACACATTGCATTTCATGTAACTGGGAATGTGTCATTAGCAGTTCTTGTAATGTATCGTCCTCCATCATATACAGTTAAAGAATTTCTGCAGGTTCTCAAAATGTTCTCAAATTAAATACACAAATGTATTATCATGGGTGACTTTAATGAAGATAAAGGTATTATTAAAAAGGAATGTGCTGTCCAAAAGTAAATGAATGATCTTGGATATGAGCAATGTGTTAATGATGCCAAAGCTGGAAAGGGCACCTTTTGACCATGTTTATGTGACTGTTTGACCATGTTTATGTGAGAAACAAAGAGACATGTAGTGTCACTGTTGAAATTAGTCCATGCTATTATAGCTACCATGAAGCAGTCATTGTTAAGATGTAATATGACTGATACAAATACTTGTGATTTGTAAATATGCCTAAGTTTATGCTAACGCTACTATAACAGGAATACTAGTTTTTTTTCTATTGAATACAATGAGACTTTCAAATTGAACACTTACGAACAACTTAAAGAAAGAAACAAAGCAAGTAACGGAAACACCAAGCGCAAAAATGTATTTTGGAGATTAACGCATGAAGATACGTGGCAAGTATATTGAAGGTTTGCAATAAAATGGATACTGGATAATGAAATAGTCTATTTGTAAATAACCAGAGATGAAGCTGTGTAGTTAACAGTGCAGATGAATACATACAGAGCATAAACCACGATGTTGAAGCACCAAGGTAAATAGTTCTTAATTTAAATGGTATCAAAACAAGTGATATGATAACAACAATGATATCACATGATAAACAAAAGTGATAAAATATGTGTTTTAGAGAAAC